TCTATTTCTACCTTCACACACATCAACCTGTCTGACTCTCGTTTCACCTCTACCACATTTCTTACATATTCTTCCTTTAGGATCACCCCTACTCCATTTCTCTTCCCATCTGTACCATGATAAAGCAGTTTGTAGCCTCCTCCAATGTTTCTAGCCTTACTGCCCTTCCACCTGGTCTCCTGCACACACAAAATATCTACTCTTCTTCTTTCCATCACATCAGCTATTTCTCTACTTTTCCCTGTCATTGTACCTACATTCAAAGTTCCAAACTTCAGACCAACACTTCTATTCTTCACCTTTTCTCTTTTTCTCCTAACCAAACGCCCTCCTCTTCTTCTCTGTCTCTGACCAACAGTACACAAAACGGCTTTGCGGGCCGCATTTGGCCCCCGGGCCTTGAGTTTGACACATATGGTTTAGAGACACTAGCAATAGGCAGAAGACAGGAGGCGGAGCTGGAGGTGGCAGAGTTAAAGATGCTAAGATTCTCTTTAGGAGTGACAAGGATGGACAGGATCAGGAAATGAGGTCATTAGAGGGACAACAGACAGGAAGTTTTGGAGAAAAGGCGTCGTTACTACGGAAGCTGCAGTAGGACAAACTGAAAAAACCACAAGCAATTTCAATGTTAATTGAAACTTAATTTCTAAAATTGAATTAAATTTAATCATTTACTAAAATTAAAATTAATATATGGTGTTTGTTTAACTCACATGTGTGTTTTCTGGTTGATGTGAGATGCATTTTTTTCTATTTTTGTCAGTTTATATCGACTGGGCTTCTTGTGTAAGCTGATTATTGCCATTTATATTGCACATATGCTTATCATTTTCTTCCAGAGAACAGGGAGTTATAATCTCTTATCAATGCTCTGCAGCAGTTTCTAGAAACTTCCTCAGTAGTGCTGTAATATATGTAAGTTTGTTTTCAACTCAACCCACTAAGTCTATTATTTATGTTCAGAAAACATGTACTAATTAACTTATAAAAGACATCCGTCTGTGATTTAGAATCTAGAATTAATGGCCACAGCAGTGGTCACACACAATAAAACACAAATACCCTTAAAAAAAACCCCACCTCAATAAAACCATTAAACCAGTGAGTAAAACAGCTTCTGACAAGAATGTAAAGGGTCAGGGGCTAGGGTAACACTACAGTAAAGTTGTATCACCTGTTATCAGCACCTGTCTGTGTCTGACTTACTTTTGCAACCTATCTACAGGTGTCTCCTGTACGACATACCTTATTCTGCTGTTATTTAATTACAACACGACACATTTCTGGCAGTGGTGGCTTAGTTGTTAAGGAAGTGGACGTGGGAGGTTTCAGGTTTGAATCCACCAGCTGCCAAGTTACCACTGAGGTGCTCTGAACATAGTACTGTCCCCACACACTGCTCCCTGGGCTCTCAAAAAGCTGCCCACTGTTCACTTTGGTGATGGGTTAAATGCAGAGGTCACATTTTGTTGTGTGCAGTGATGTGTGTCACAAGGAGTTCACTTTAATTTAAATGTATTCATTTTAACACCAACAGAGGTGGGTAGAGTAGCCAAAGATTGTACTTATGTAAAAGTACCATTACTTCAGAATAAAATTATTCAAGTAGAAGTAAAAAGTAGTCATCCAAATAATTACTTGAGTAAGAGTAAAAAGTACATGGTGAAAAAACTACTCAAGTACTGAGTAACTGTTGAGTAACATTTATTTTTTAACCTGTATTCAGTCAGATAAACAAAAATACAGAGAGTTTATCCCATCAACAAAATAAAAAAAACCCCAAATTAATTAAATACCTTAAAATAAAATAATCTTTAGGTAAGTTAAAGTTCTTCAATAAAAAATAAAAATCAATCAAATAAAAAGAGTACATAAAGAAGTAAATATTTACGAAATAACTTAAATTACATCACAAGTAAAAACTTCCAAACCTTTGGACCCTCTGTAGATAAAAACACGTCTTTGAGGCTACAAGCAGATCGAGCTCAGCACTGACAGTTACAGACAAGTTTAACTAATGTTAGCAAATGTGCCATTTAATATATTTATTAATGGCTAAGATTTTTTTTTTCAAGAATAAAATTTGACCAACCAAGTTAAACATCTGCTTTTCATTTAGAGGCTGTCCTAGCTTTAATTAAAGTGCATATTGATATACAGAAGTATTTACGCCCATTTCCCCTTAAAGTATAAACAATGTGATACAAAATAAATAATAAAAAAAATACATCCCTGAACTGTGAACTTTGACATTTATAATAATTTACTGTAAGGCAAACACATGAACAGATGGCCATGAAGTCAAACAGACGAGTACCAAATCCAAACCCTTCCGTGTTCTTCTTTTCAATCTATAAACAACATATTTTTGTCGTTAATTCTGCTGTCTTATGATCGCTTCCCACTCCAAGCTAACTTTTTAAAGGACATTTCAGTTGTACAAATGGCTCTCTAGACAGGAAGCAGCAAATTCTCAAAAATAAGTCAAATTTTTTACTAAGAAAATAAAATAATGACAGAAGGATGGAAATAAATACTCGGACATTTCTGTAATCAGTCCATACATGTGGGTCAGACATGGACAGGAGTCGTGTGCAGTGTCATTTCCTCTCAACTGAAAGGTTCATGGTCAGATAATTCAGAAACACTTTTTTGGTCCATGATTCATAATTAAGTGAAATGAATCCTTTTAAAAACACAAATAGCAGGCAGTGAGGAAGAATCCCACTCCAGATAAACCTGAGCTCACAGAGTCAAGATCCCCTTTCAGTTCTACCTTTCTAATGATCTCCTGCTGACATTCACAGAATGAGACAGTCACACAGAGGAACTGAAAATAACAGCAGGACCCCGGGATTCCTATGCATCAGATGAGGGGTGAGGAATGGGATGTCAGAAGAGGGTTGACCCACGTAAAGGTCAGGGTCACATCATGTTGGAAGGTTTTGAGGTCAGTGGGGTTGAGCGTCTTTCTTCACAGCGAGGTAACTCCTAGCTGTGTCTTCAGCTGCTCATAGACCACATAACTGATGCTGACAGCAGGGATCACCTTCAGGAAGTTTGGGGCAAGGCCTCTGTAGAGGCCTGTTGGACCCTCGGTCTGCAGGATTTGCATTTGAATTTCAGAGAATTCTTGTACTCAGTTTTCAGTGTCTAATGATCACACAGTCTGAATTCTCACTTCATATACAGCCAGATCAATGCCTGCATATGGTATGATGCCAAGCATGTTTGGAACGTAGCCCTTGTAAAAGGCTCCCAGTCTTTCTCGCTTGAAGATCTGTTTGACACAGTCAGATATTCCAGAGTACTGTCCAGTTTTTGTTAGAGCTAGGCGAGTTTTTAGCACCTGGAGAGAATATCAGAAAATAAAACATCAGGAATTTCCATCAACTGGCATTGAACTTGTTTCTAACTCTCCGACGCCTCGCCACGGTAACTATCACTTTGCACAGGCAGAAGAAATGATCCAGTCGGCTCGGGGCTCTGCTCCCACTGTGAGAAAGAATGTCAGCGGACCAAAATTTCTGACGCCCGACGAAACGTGAAATCGACCCAAGCATCGCCAGGTCGTGCGTCTCAAAAATCTGGTTAAAACGGGCTAAAAATCGTACAGTTTATGCCCGGCCTTAGCAGATGTTACACAAGTCAGCTTTGTGCCAAGACGAGCATACGTTTGACCCAAACAGAAGAACTGGGTGAAGTTACTCAAACAGCAAGTAAAAGAACAGGACGTATGAGATTAAAAATCGGTGTGGGTCAAAGTCACCACACCGATTCTAAAGTCAAATTTCAACACAGCTAGTGACATAGACCAGAGTAGATGACATAGATCCAGGTGACATTTAGTCAATGAAGATTGTAAAGATAACGCAGACAGGGAGTAGTGGGAAGTAAAGGGATTTCATTGGCTGCTACTGATGGCCTGGACTCTGACCTCCCAGTCATATGCATGTGCATTATTAATCATTAACTCATGACCAAGCAATCTGGGGTAACAGCAGCAAAATGTATTACTTTTTAAATAAGTTATCTTTCAACCTGCAGTAAAAAAAAAAGAAAAAAAAGGAAAACAGTGTATCCAAATTTTTGTACACATAATTGGTCTAAAATAATGTACAAGGACTTTATGCGCAGTCAATATTTTTGTGGTTGCACTACAGTTTTTATGAACAGGGTCATTTCCTTAATCTTATTGTCTCTGCAAAAATGTTTTATTATCATGATCTATCCATGACATTTAATTGTTGTTTTGGGAATATCCCTGAATTACTTTATTAACACAAGAATCCAAGTCTTACCTGCATCATGACTTTGAGTCTGTCCAGAGGAGCTGTGCAAGTTCTGGAAACGGCTCCGGCTCCACCTCCTGCCACCAGGTGCCTCCACCACATCCCTGTCTGCTTTTCCTCCATAGTGAAATCATCAGGAACCATCAGGTTCTCACCTACATCAAATATCTAACAGCAAAAGACACACAAGTCAATCCTAACATACAGTTTGTGTGAATTCAGAAATGAAAGAGCAAATGTTTAATGGGGGGAAAAAAAGTCAAAGTAAAAAATTAACAGAAATTTTTTTTTTTTTTTAGATTTATCTTTTTAGTAGTGCTTTTTTGTGCACAGCCATAGCTTTTATCTTCTTTTTCATCTGACAAGTCTATATTCAGGACAGTAACAGTTCTAATACAAAGTATTAGTGTGATGCTTGGGGCAAAGAGTCTCTGGGTTTAAAATTAAACACTATCACACCGGTGGTGCTTTGGCCCAGAGGCAATGTCTCTGTCATTGGTGTGGAACCCCAGGGTTCACCTCCTGGGCAAGTTCAAATCCCCGTTAGGGCAGTTAATACCTTCCAGTGGACTCACCACCCGAAGGAAGGTTTGGGGGGTTGGTATGGTGCAATGTGATTTGGGTGGCGACTGCTGCCCCCGCGACCCAGTAACGGATAAGCGGCTGAAGACGGATGGATGGATGGACGGACTATCACACCGGTCCAACATCTTGGGTGTCAATGGCTTGGTTGCATGTCCTTGTGACCTACAGGAAAACCCAACCCAAGCTCTGCTCTGGACTCTACAAAGACTTTGTGCTGGTTTAATTTTGAAAGCGCAACCTCATTAGAGTCCATGGCAGTTAAATTAATTTCTTAGTACAATCTCCTAAGGGAGCTGTGCTAAATAACACCTTTCGCTGCCTGCTGTAGTTATTTACATAAAAGCCAGACAAAGCAAAAAAATCCTTCAATCATAATCCCTGAACACATACGGCCAACGACTTGACTGACGCACAGCAAATGCTATGGGAGACATTTAAATACAATCTTTCTTAGGCAACTTGTTTTTCTAACCTCTCGCTGCTGTGAGAAAAGGCCCAGGGCACTTTGAATACGTAGTCCTAGTTACAGCAGAACTCTTTATCACATTTTGTGATAACGTATCAAATCTAAGAAAATATGACTTTGAAGACCCCATTATTTATAGCATGACTGAATCTGTCCTGTGCTAAACCCATGATTTTATTGCAAACTCACCGTGGAGCGTTTCCAGTACAGAATGATCTCAGGAATGTTCTCGGTCTTCTTTACGACAGCATAGCTGCTCCAGTCTTTGCTATCGATTGTTATCAAACCATTTTTATCCATGCTGTAAAGAAGAACAAGAGAATCATCACGAGATTTTAAAAACATAAATTACAAGAGACCCACTAGACTAGAATAACTAGTATTACCTTTTAAGAGCTTTAGTTGCTTGCTGCAGGGAAATGTGGACACCCAGATCATGGAGAGACTGCATAAATTCTTTTGGGTTTACATGGCCTTAAAAAGGAAACAAAGGGAGAAGTTGTTACTCACATGGTGAATTACATTTATTGAATCAGAGAGAAAATAGTAAAACTGCTGCCACATACTAGCATTCCCCCTGTACACACTTTTCACTACAAGTTTCAGGTCCTTCTCGTGGTCCTGCAGATAATGAACAAACTCTTCAAAGTACAGCTGTCCGTCTGGATCATTTTCTCCCGTTGAACAGCCTTTCTGCAAAAGAAACAAACAAAAAAAAAAAGCAGTGCTTTACAATCCAGTACCATCACACACATCCTAAGGCATATGTACAAAAGTACATATTTTAAGCACATATGCAAATTCCCTTCAACAGAAATGGTATACTTTGTGCTGACCAGTGATGAACTTGAACATGATCCTCAAGATTCAAAAAGTTTTTTAGGCTGTGAGAATTTTATGACACCAATGGACAGTCCTGTGACCCATTTGCCGACTTTGTGTGGTGTGTCCAAGTTGTAACCTAATGAAGTAATACCCCATTTTTGAAAATATCCCAGGGCAACCTGCCAGCTAACTGAAACCTCATAAGAACTTTGGGAACCTTACTGGCCAATACCTGACCCACAGGGCACTTGGCATATGACTGTGGATTTGCACTGACTGCACTGCAAAGCACCTGCAAAACTGCATATACCCTATGTGATTAGGAGTTACTGTTGGTGTTTTACCCTCTTCTTTTTGAGTGTGTGGTCTCTGTTCAACTGCTTTGCAGGCCTTAGAAATTAACTCCCTGTATTTCTGCAATTCATGGACCATATATTGAAAATCAGCTGCTTGAAATAAATAACATAGCTGGCAGTTGTAGTCAGTGTCTAATCCACAGCAGACGAGTACGGTAATAGTCATGTGCTTTTTCAGCAAAAAATGTTAACGATCCAAAATGACAAAGTCCTTACCACAGCAGGGTTCACCTTTATCTGAATTACACACAGTCTGGCTGACAGTCTGTGCTCGGTTAAAACGTGTTGAGAAAAAAACCCTTACAATACAAAATATAAACGCAGTGAATCAAGAGGCAAACGTGTATTTGTTTAACAGTACCGGCTTTTGTGGCCTACCAGACGGCTAAGCGCTAGCTACTGCTAATGCTACCCTTTCCGGTGACCAAAAGATGAATGTAATATTATAATACATGTAATATATTATAATACATGTAATATTCCACCAACCTTTCTCCATCTCTGGTAGGTAGAAAACTCCTGAGACGGCAGCAGGACACTTAGTGTCTGAAAGACTGATTTGAGTTCGGTGGGGAGACCGTTCGACTCGAAACATTCCACCTCCACTGGGTCTGAGTTGGATACAGGTACATAAAAGACAAGGCCAAGCATGGTGGACGACTTCGTTCTTAAAATATACTAAATTAATAAATCAATAATAAATATCGCGCAAACAGAAACCTATACTACGCCCCTGACAACACTGCTGCGAAATGCGGAAATGGCGCCGGCTTCTAAAGAACGTCAGGACATTATGCTCCGCCCTCTTACAGGAATAGCTGAACATAACTGGATGTTCCTGCTGCCCTGTTGACTTCATTTACTACCGATAAGTGATGGGAAGACCGACTGTTTTTACTGATTCGGATCTTTGACTCTCAAACCACCACAATGTGAAGATGAATGAGAGCAAAAGAGACCCGAGCTCTCTGTCACGTGCGAGAACGAAGCGAAAGATTAGTTCACAGAGAGTGATTGTTCATAGTGAAAGATTAGTTCACAGCGAAAGATTAGTTTGCAGTGATTAGTTTGCAATGAAAGATTAGTTCACAGTCAAAGATTAGTTCATAGTCAAAGATTAGTTCGCAGAGAGTAATTCGTTTGTAGTGAAAAAAATGTTCACAGTGAAAGATTAGTTCGTAGAGTGATTTGTTCGTAGTGAACGATTAGTTCACAGTGAAATATTAGTTCACAGAGAGTGATTAGTTCGCAGTGAGTGATTCGTTTGCAATGAGTGATTAGTTCGCAGTGAAACATTAGTTCGCAGAGAGTGATTAGTTTGCAGAGAGTGATTTGTGAGTGATTCGTGAATTCAAAATAAACAAATTTCATATGACTCAGGAGTCACGAGTCACGAATATTTCACATGACTTGGGAGTCACGAGTCATATGAAAGATTTGTTCATATTGAAAGAATCACTCGCGAACGACACATCACTACTAGTGAACTAAAAGATTTAAAGCCAAAGTAGAGAAGCCAGAAAACCCCCCAAAAACAATATAAAAAAGAAATGAAATTTGTTTGCAAGCAACAAAAGGCTGAAAACAAAAACAAAAAACTCAAGTGAGGAAAAACACTATGGGAAATTGCTTGAAAAATTGGAAAGGGGTATAACTCGGCTCCTGCAATGGAAAATTGCTTTATATATGCAGCTCTGCTGAGACACAGCAGGTTACATCAGATATAAGAGCAACGTCAATCATCTCATGTAGGCCCCTTCCTTTTATTCTTCTGAAGATCATTCTACCTTGTCCAAGTGATTTGTATTGGAAATACAGGCTGTTCAAAAGTAGCAGGGTACGTTATATCACAATTAGTCTGATGAACCACAGGACAAAAGATCAAGATAAAACTCATGAGAAACAGCACAGATAAACCAGCATCAGTGGCAGCATCAGTAGTGTCATCGTCATCATCATAATTTGCAGCAGCGGCAGCAGCAGCATATTTAAGTTCTGCTCAGAGGTTGAGGTTTCACTTGGACTGCGATAATCGTATGCCTATTTGCAGGATTTGCATAATAACAGCTTTTGTAATCATTCAGGGACACGTCAACGAGACACTCTACCTCTATCTTGAAAATCTGATATGCAGTTCTACTGCAGGTATGAGTACTAATATTCCTAATTTAGGTTGTTAAGGACAATATAATATGTATATTTTTAATTATGTTTCTTAATGAACAATAAAGATTTAATTTTCAACATTCTATTTTTGTAAAGCAGGTTTTACTGCACTTAAACAAAATGACATGGTAGAATGGACATACAACCTGCAGCTGATTAGCAATTGTGGTAAGCTGTATTTTTAAGCAATCCATATTTTTTTATGTAGGTTATGCATTATGATTTACCAAACGTATGCAACTAGATTCTGACCTGACCCTAGTCTTCTGTTTTATCCAGGTGCGCCAGAACCAAATTGATATCGGTAATGGTGGGCACCAGTATTGGTTTGGGACATGATAATGTTGTATCAAACCATCTCTACCACTAACTTGCCTGTAGACCTCATGAGGATGTCTGATTTGGTGACAAACTTTGATCAGATGGATTAGCACCAGAGCCTACCTGTCAAACTTTTGACCTCATTGTGACCAGTATGCCAAAATGTTTGCACAAGCCCTGCTCTGAGAAAACAGGGTTGTTTCCCCCTAGTCTCTGTCAGACCTTGTATGTGGCAAATGATTGGAGAATAGGCAGGAGTCCCAATAGATTCTCAAAGAAAACACAGTGCAGTCCATCACCCTGACCTAAATATTAGACCGTACTGAGGCTGACAGAACACACACACAAAAGATTGAGTGATATCTATGATCTCATCATAAGGAGAGGCAGGACTTGTTTTTGATGTCTGCTTCATAAAGAATGAGAACATCAACACATCCATGTTGATGGCTGTACAAATAATATATGTTGTTTCTAGTTAGTGTAGTGGCCTGTCATACAGGAGACCAGGGTTCAATACCCAGATGGGGAGATCATATTTAATTGTTAATTTCACCAAAAAAGTTTTTTAACTTTTTTATCTTTTTATTGTCTTAAGTCTTATTTGTTGTATTAAATAAAAAATAACCAAACAAAACTAATGAAATATCTATTTTTCGAAGGGATCCCCTGACAGACTTTGACTTAGACCCCTAGTAACAGGGTCTCACAGCCTATACTATGACTCTATTCCTAAGTCAAAGCTGTGAGTACTGCAAAAACTCACAAGTCCTAAATTACCAGTTACAGCTTATATTGAGGGAGTGAGGGAGGGGTTTAGGAGTAAGAGTAAGAGTAAGAGAAAGAGAGAGAGCGAGAGAGAGAGAGAGAGAGAGAGAATCTTACAAAAAGCCCATTTTAAAATCTAAAAATTGAAAACAAAAAACATTTAAAGGCAATTGTTTAAAATAGATTATTTAAAAATAACCAAAAATGTAGCCAATTTATCAAAAAGTTAAGTTAAAAGTTTATAAATCTGGAAGGGTGAACAACAAGAATGTGGTTAAATCTTGCAATAAAACAAAAAAAAATGTATAAAGTACAAAAGTTTCATATCATTAGTGAGTCCTGCTGAGTGACTTGTAACATTAATCCGTCTGTGCAGTAACAAAACAACACCAACAGACGGCTGTGAATCGTGAGGCATCATCAAACTCCCTTCTCCTAAAACCAGATTTTATTCTGGTTTAGTCTCCAGATTAAATGAATGTCTGCAAACAGTCATCATTCATCTTTGGTTTCTTCAGCATTACTGTCATTACGCATCTGCAGAATTATGACCATGAACAGTTTATACAGAGTAAGGTGTTAGATGTTAAACTGAACAACTCTGGTGTCATTTTATCGTTCTGTCCCTTTTCACAGTTTATATGATCTATGACCTTCTGTTCCCTGGTATAAAAAAGAGGAACTATTAAGTATAAAGGATTGTTTAGTCAAAATGCATATTTAGTTAGTAAACTAAACCAAAAATGTATTTTTAAATGTAATGCAGGCCAAACAATGTTTTTCTGTAGCAGAAGACAGTGACAGGGACTAAAAGCAGTGCTAGGAAACAACAACGATGTGCATTTCCACCAAAGGAACCATAACCAGGAACATGGGACTGTTTTTTTTATTTTCATCTGTTAAAACTAAAAAAAGACAATGTACTACTCAGTATGTGCAGGTCAACTCTCCATATATAGAGAGATATACTATAGCCATGTGACCTTTACTGCAAATTAAAAAAATACATAACAGTACTTGGTACCAACATTTCCTACTCACAATTTATCAGTGTAAAAGTTCTCCTGTTTTCTCATGCATTTTTCTCTTCTTTGCTGCACAATTTTCTGAAAGACTCTTGTGAATATGTGATAAAACATTCCATTCTGTGCAGCATTGTATGCTGTTTTCCAGTCCATGTTTTTTTCATGTTTGCAAACTCATAAACACTGTTCAGTATTTTCATATTAGTCTTTTGTCAATACTGCACTTTCTCAGCAGCAGCAGCAGCAGCATCATAATGCATGTCTTTCACTGCCTAAAGCAACAAACTC